ATATATATATATATATATATACACATATAAAAAAAAAATTAAATGAAGAAATGGCATGACTTCTATATCTTAGTCTCTCTCATCAATCTTTCACACTTTTTTTTGTTACAAATCAAATCTACGTAAATCGCTTGCAATTATTATTTTTCTTTATACTTTCTCACTTTTATAAAATTAGCTGAGATTTTACGTTATTGTTTTCAAAATAAAATTATAACAGATAAGTGACATTTGTAAGTAAAACATTTCAATAACATAAAACAGAAGAAATAATGTAGATTTAATTTTTTAGTAGTTCTCATCATACTTTGTAGAGAGGCTTGCCTTAAATTAGCGCTAGATTATGCTCGATTCATACAAGTTATAATTCGTTTGTCATTCATTGCAATTAATAATACATTTCATTATTTGTTAATATCTTCACAATCTATTAACGGTTTACAGTTCCAATCGTTTAAATCACTATGAACTGATAAATTTATGGTAATTTACTTCCTTCGATTTCATAAAAAACGATTGGCAAATCTCAAATAGCAAACTGCGAATTTTGAACCACGAATCGCGCATAATTTGGCACTAGATTTATATGTATACTCTACTTTAAGACAAGAAAATACGGACATATCCATGAATCCTGAATCGACATAATGGACATCTCGCAAAAACCGGTGCGCAGTTGCTACACGTTGCTAAATGTCCACAAGGTAAAAATACTATGGCAAGTTCATGATCCATACAAACTTTGCATAAACGAGCCTCCTTCAATTTTCTGTTTTCCTCTTGCAAAGCCACTGCAAAAAAGCAACGAGCTGTTTAGCTACATGTGTGCACATTTCTTTCCAAGAGATCAAATTATGTATGTAATAGGATGTAGAAGACATGATATAGCTTTACAAGGGAGAAATCTTTCACACAAAAGAACATTGCATCAAGCAGGTGTATCAGTTGAGATTTTTTTATTAATTTTATCAACACTTATTCCTGAAAATGTTGATAAAATGAACTAAATTAATAAAATTAATAAAAAATTATAAACCACAATAGTGTGATAACGATAAAAACAATAATAGATGAGTATGTAACTGATTTCACAGATAATATACAGATAATATCAAATAATAATATATGATATTTATTTGTTACTTACTAAAATCATCTAATTCGTTATCCGTTTTTTTCTTCTCGAGATCTCTTTCAAATACGTCAGATTTCTGTGTATCATTTTTATTTGCGGAATTATTAGTCATTTGTATAGTAACTTGATTAAACAAATTATTCAATTCTGAAGTAGGTGAGTTAGAAGTGCTGTTATCAAGGCTAAAGAAAAAAAACATAATTCTTAATGATACCTCAACAATTCGATTATTTCTAATTGCATGTATACATATATAACATACGTATGCTGTATCTTATATACCTATTATTCTCTTCCATAACTTGATGGTGTAGAACATCTTGTATCAGTTGTGCAACATCTGTATACGATATGCCAACTCTTTCCATTCTGTTCTTCAGAGCTCTCTTTACTCTATCTACTTGCAACCCAATTTCAAGAGCAGCCTATATTGAGAGAAAAAAGAAAGTTATATTAAATTAATTAATCTTAATTAAGAATAATTAGGAACATTTGAGTTACGTTTTCAAATCGCTGACAAAGAATTTCATCATCAATGTGTTTTTACATTTTATTATATATGTTTTCTTTATATATAAAATTTGAATTGATAAAAATATTGCGAAATTTTCTCTAATTTCAATGTAATACATACATATGTACAATTTGATCATTTTACTTGCCATAGCTGGAGCTGTTTCTAAAAGTTTCTCAACCTCAGCATTCGTTATTGATACATTGGGTTGTAAAACTGTCGAGAGAGATGCAACCATAGTTTCAGTGGCATCTACTGGTGTATTTGATTCGCTAGGTTGCGAAACTGTCGAAACAGATGCACCTAAAGTTTCTACAATATCTGTCGCAGATGATATTGTATCATCTGGTTTGCTATTTTGTAAAGTTGAAACAGATTCAACTAAAGACTCTGTGGCATTATCTTCTGGCATGCCAGTGATAATCTGTATATACATAACGAAATTTAAAAAATATTACATGTTACGTAATGTATAAAATGTATCTTATGTATATTACATAATATAGACAATATATTATTTGTACAATATAAAATTTGTATTATCTAACTAAATTAATTCATAAAATCATAAAAAAGTGGAATATGACAATTACCGAAAGATCGAAATTTCTATTATCAACGCAATATTTAACAAAGTCTTGTCCACGCACAAGATTTACAAAGAAACAATTTGAAAACCATCGTGCATGTTCAACCCATACATCATCCGTTGGTTGCCAATTTCGTAATCCTCCATCGCAATGAAAACATCTAACTTGATCTTCGTATCCTATATCAAATACGTAAGATTAATCATTAGAACAAACATTTTATGGGAAAAAAAGATCTAATAATTTAAAAGATAAATATAATTCTGACCGCTATAATAAAATCCAGCCTCAGCTAACATTTCTGGAGTTTGCTTAAGATTTTTTGGCCATCCTTTAAACGTCTGCAACCTTTTTTCATACATTGCGAATCCTGGTCTTTGAGGTGTTTTGTGTACCTGTATTCCTGGCATATTCGTTCGACTTTCAGGCACGACACAAACAAATCCAAATAGCTCTATCGAAATAAAACTATGATTAGTAATTGATACAGTACACAAGTTTTATATATTTAGATTAAAGCAAGATTGAATATATTCATGAGTCTCAAGAATGTTACTAAAATAATAATATACCTTCTGCTGGTTCCAGTCTCATATAGAAATCACAATTTGGAAAATTTAATCTGTGTACACTATCCGGATTGTCACCAGGTTTCCAATTCATTATGACACCTCTGCAAAATGCGCATTCCACCTGTTATTTGTACAAAATGTTATGCAAGCGTAAAATATTTTCAGATAATATATAAAACTTTATTTTATGCAAACAGTTTCTAGTCAAATTACAATAGATTTACAACAATCTCTATATATCAGGATCATTTTTTCTTACCATATCTTCATTTTGAAGATAATAAAATCCTGCCATGGCCAACTTGTGTGGATGGATAATACTTGTTTTTGGCCACTTTTGAAATGACACTATCCTTTCTACAAGAGTACCATATTCCTTAAGAGGATCCATAGACCTTTGCGGTAGGCTTGAATTATTTTCGACACTGCTGGACCACTGTGAGTGATCATCAGCCGACGACTGTTGATGCGTTGATGATTCCGCAGCAGCGTTTTCAGCTATGCCAGGTATGAAGGGAATATTGATAGTGTTGGTCGGTGCGAGGACGAAAGGGCATTTAGGCGCTTTCGTTCGATGACGAACCATAACATGATCACCATAATTCCAGTCGGATATCCTCGTGCCACAAAAAAAACATTGAACCTCTAGGTCATGTCCGATGTAATAGAATCCCGCTTTCGCGAGACGCGTCGGATCGACAGCGGCGTTGGCCGGCCACTTGCCACGAAACGTTCTAAGCCTATTTTCCTCGACGTTCATTTTCGAGTCAGATTATTGTCTGCATTGATAAGGAAACCCTAGTGAAAATAAATCGCTGAAATCTATGTCAATTGACCTATTTCAGCATGAATTATACCGAAAGCTAGATTAAAGTTTCAATGCGATTTTTCAATGATTTCAACGATTTATTTCTACCAGGCAACTCATAGCAAATGAAGTTGGTAAATTTTTTTAATTATCAACTGATTAAAATGCAGATTTATTTAGTAAGTGATATCGCTGAATTTTAACAAGTCTTTAATGACAGTTTGCTGAATTATTAAACACACCTCGAACACGTAACACAAGTCAAATAATTACGACTATCGATTTAGAGATACAACATGCAAAATGCATAGACTGCATTTAGCAAAAGAAAACTGGGGGAAACCGATTGAACACTCAATAATTTCAAAGAGAAACCCAACAACTCGTTGCTGTCAAGTGCTGTCAAGTGCTGTGAGTTGACACCAGCTGACATCCACTAAGGGCACTTCGCCACTTCCAGCTTTTTTCATATCTCGTAGAACTCATCACAAACGTCAAAACGGTCCGTAAATTAGCGAAACAACGTCCATTTTAACGATATGAAAAATGAATATCACATTTATTTTATAACATTGTCAATAAAATGGTAGTGTCGATTGATTTATAGATTCAAC